CTGGATTTTATACCCTCCCTCTCAGAGACAGTGTTAGTACATTTACAGAGGTTAAAGTTGTGAACTCCAGAGTCAGGCTGGGTCACAGCCCTGGTGGCCTTATTTCTGAGCTGTGTGATCGTAGGCAGTTTACTGCTTCTGTGTCCTCATCTGAAAATTTGAGATGATAATACTTTGATCTCACAGAGCTGCTAAGGAAATAATGAAGGCTAAACACTTCACACATTTTATGGCACCCAGCAAACATTCCAAATATGTCAGGTGGAGTTTCTGCTATTACTCAAAGTATAGTATGTGCCAAGTGCTTGAGTCTTTGCTACCTAAGAATCGGCAGCCTAGTGCAAGAGATAAAAGTTAAAAACAGTATGAAGCTAAATGCTCTCTGAGATGAAAGTATTCAGGGGTGTTTCATCCCGAACGGCAGTCATGGGAAGCTTCCTGAAGGGGGCTGTCTCTGAACTGATAGCAAAAGAGCAAGGGGGACTCTGACAGGAGTGGCTGAGGTTGGAGGAGAGATAGGGATGAGGACACTGCTGAGAGGTGAAGAAAGCAGCACTTGCAAAGACCCGGGTGTGATGTTTTCCCTTCAGGGAGCAGCTAGGAATGAGAGTAAGAAGGCATAGAAGAGAACACGTGGTGTGCGTGGGGCAGTCGGCTGAGGTCAGGTCTTGAAAGGCCTTGCTCAAGAGCCAGTGGGCAGATGGCCTCAGATCTGTGCTTATGAAAGATCATCCAGAAGTGCTGAGGATGGATTGTGGTGGAATACATGAGAAAGAAGAGGCAACTGGGGCCATAAATTATGGTAGAGATGACCGTCTGGGTCATCGCTGTGGCAGTGGAGCCAGAAATTTGGGAAAATCCCACAATTAGGCAGGATTGAAGCATTGTCTTCACTTGCTGCTTGCTAAGGGCCTTGTTAAGAACAGTAAATTTTAAATTGTGCAAGTACAGTGTAAGTTCTACAACTGTTAAACTGTGAAGGCCTAGAAAATGGGTTACAAAACCAAGAACAACCTTTTATTGCCTGTACAGATTACTACAGATTGTTCTTTGACAGTCTGTGAGCATTATTGCATTGTTTTTGTTTATTGTTGATTAAAACCTTCCCAACGTGTCTGATAAAATATAAAAATGCTGACCCGTTGGGAGCCTTAGGATCTAAAAATCAGAGTGAAGAGTCAAATACCTAGATACAAATAAAACAACCATACAACATCAAGAAAGGTAACTGATCTCAAACCAGGCTAAGTGGGGAACCAAAGGAGGCCCAAAATTTACCTGTACGATGACCTCTTATATACCTAATCCTGTACTGTACTCCACATCTTTAAAATAAAAGAAAAAAAAAAAAGAATTCACCTGCACTGTTTGGGGGAGAATTACTTAATGCAACTGCTTTGAAAAACTGATAGTACCTCCTAAATCCAAATATATGTAACCTCAATGATGGAGCAATTCTACTCCTGTGTATGAACCCAAATAAATGTTTGTACCAGTAGACAAAAAAAAAAAAAGAAAAGAAAAAACCCAAAATACACTGTGTAGAAAACATTGTTTTCACTTGTTGATTTTTTTCTGTAGCTGATCAGAGTAAGAGAACTTTCTTTGTTTTCATAATCCTTGAGACTATTCTGTGTTGTAAGATGTCACACTGCTCCTGGTAGACTAGACAGATCAGGGTCATTTATTTATTCAGCAACTATGTATTGAGCACCTACTATAAATTAGGTATAAAGTAATATTGTCTCTGTTATGGAGCCTCCATTCTAGAAGATGAAATAAAATGGAATGTGGTATTGTCTTGAAAATTGGTAAGAATGTATTTTTCTGCTTCAAGTCTTTCTTGAATAAGATGATAGTATAGAAAAAAATATATAATGTCTTTGTATATTGAGGTATCTTTTTGTTTCTTATATGAGAGTCAGTATTGAGGAGTTGCGAAGATGATGTGAGTTAAAGCATGAAAAATGCCTAAGACATAGTAAGTGCTTAATTTCTGTCAGCTATTGTTATATTATGTGATACTTATTTTGCCAATCTTTCTTACTGACTCTTAGATAACTGCCTCTAGATTATCTCTAAAATCCCCCCAAATAAAGCTCCTTCTAGTAGCCAGGCTACCATTGGGGCATTGCCCAGACTGCAGCAGCAGCCTCCTATGTGGTCTCTCCACATCCTATCACCCTTTCCCCAGTCCGTGTTTCATCTTGCAGTCAGAGGAGAATTTTTGGTCTTATGTTAGTTTCCTATTGTTGCTGTAAAAATTACCACTAAAGAAGAGACTTAAAACCACATGTTATTATCTTACAATTTTAGAGGTCAGAATCCACATGCTGGCAGGTCTGCGTTCCTTCGGGAGAATCTGGGGAGTCTCTGGTCTCTTGCCTTTCTCCAAATTCTAGAGACCGTTCCCAGTCCTGGGCTTGGGTCCCTGCTTCACTTGGACACCTGCTTCTGTCACTACCTCTCCTCCTTTGACTCTCCTGCCTTCTGTCATTTATAAGGACCATTGTGATTACATTGGACCTACCCAGATAACCTAGGATAATCTCCTTATCTCAAAATCCCTGGTTCCTTTTTCCATGGAGGGTAGCATATTCACAGGTTTTGGGAATTAGGAAGTCAACATCTTTTAGGGTTTGTTATTCTGTCTTCCAGAAATTTCTTTTATGCTGTAGAACAGTGCCTAGAATATGGGTTTTTTAATTCCTTATTTTTTTATGTGAATGCTCCTGCTTAAAGCTTTTCCATGGCTGCTCATTGCTTTCAGGGTTAAAGGTTAAGACCCCTAGGAGGCCACACAGCCTTGCCTGGGCCTCCAGCCTCTTTGTGGGCTCTTCTCCTTATGTAGGGAACTCCAGCCCCTGAGGACCTTGTCACAACCTACTTCTATTGCACCCTCAATGCTGTTCATTTATTCTGTGCTCAATACATATTTGTCAATAAACTTAAAATGAACAGTCAGTGTGCCTGAAAAGTAACTCTTGGTTTTGTTCACCAGTGTAGTATTGCTTATAGCTATGGGCTGCACGGGGTTTTGGGTTATGGGAAGGGTATTCAATAACAGAACATAGAAGATTTTTTAAAAAAATTCTTTATTTTAATAGCTTTAGGGGTACAAGTGGTTTTTGGTCACATGGCTGCTTTGAACAGTAGTGAAGAAGTCTGGGCTTTAAGAGTACCTGTCACCCCCATTAGTGCACACTGTACCCAACTGGTAATGATTCATCCCTCTCCTCCTTCCCTTTCTCCCCCTTCTGAGTCTCCAGTGTCCTCTATATCATTCTCTATGCCTCTGCAGACCCGTAGTTTAGCTTCCACTTATTCATGAGAACATGGGGGGGTTTGGTTTTCTGGTCCTGCATTACTTCACTTAGGATAATATTCTCCAATTCCATCCAAATTGCTGCAAAAGACATTATTTTGTTCTTTCTTATGACCGAATAGTATTCCATGTGTGTGTGTGTGTCTGTATCACATTTTCATGGTCCACTTATCAGTTGATGAGCATTTAGGTTGATTCTACATCTTTGCCATTGTGAATTGTGCTGCTATAAACATGCAGGTGCAGGTGATGCCTTTTTTGTATGACAACCTCTCTCATAGAAGATTGTTAATTAGCAAGTGAAGCAACCCAATGTTAATTTTCTTTTTTCAGTTTTTAAAAAGAGTAAAAAGTGTCAAGCATGGTGGCACAAGCCTGTAATCCTAGCTCTTTGGGAGGCTGAGGTGGGAGGGCTGCTTCAACTTAGGAGTTCAAGACCAGCGTAGGCAGCATAGCAAGACATCGTCTCTACAATAAATAAAAAAAATTAGCAGGGCATGGTGGCATGTGGCTGTAGTTCCAGCTACTTGGAAGGCTGACGTGGAAGGATCACCTGAGTCCAGTGGGTTGATGCTGCAGTGGCCATGAGTGTGCCACTGAACTCTAGCCTGGGCGAGTGCTGAGTCTCAACAGAGTGAGACTGACTAAAAAAAAAAAAAAAAGTAGAAAGTAATTTTCACTTGTAATTTTTAGACCCTTCTTCCTTCTCTTTAAAAATATTCTTAAGACTTAACTTTTTTTAGCATGACATATAGGATCTCATTGGCTAAGAAGTCCAGTAAAAATTCTTAATGACCTTATTCAGAATTGGTGTCATGAGTCAGAAAGAATTGTGACTTGGGCCTGTTGGCTGTGGAATGCTCAGTCCACAGTGATATTTGCCTCTGTTAGCCCTGGAGTTTAGAGAAGTTTGCCAGACTTTAATACAGTAGTCACTCAGTAGCATGGGCTACTTGCAGCCCAGTATGTCAGTGGGTTCTTTAAAAGAATGTCCAACAACAGAAAAATCATTGCTGTATATTTTGTGTATGACTCAACAGAACAACCTTTGCTATTTTATGAAATTTCATTAAATTATGAGATTTTCCATTTTACTTAAACCTTATTTCTACAAATTTAATTAGGAAGGTTTCACCCATGTAAGCTACATATTTCATCTTGATGTAGACAAGGCTTGTGTTAGGTAAGTTTTCCATCTTTGTTGGTATTCAAATGGTTGGTTGCCAACTTGATGGGTTTGTTGAATGAAGTAGTCAACTTTTGGAACTCAAGAATGCTTTGAGTCCTGACCCCATTGAGGAAAAAAAAAATTAAAAGCATAGTCCTGTTATAGGAAATTTTCTTATCAACTAATATTCTAATTGTTTAAATTTCAGTACAAAATGTGACATTTGCTAGAAAGTGCTGTATACTATACTCTATATACAAACTGTAGTATGTAAAATACTAATATTTCATATTCTATCTAATATGAAATGCCATCTGCATAGTGTTAAATACTCACTGATTCTTTTTCATCTACCTCTTTACAGGATGTAATAAAAATGATAAAATGAATTTACTTCATTTTTGATCTTTCTATGGAGTTATACCAGTACTAGTAATTTAATTTTGTTATTAGTTTTAGTTGTTGAAGAACCAATTTATCTGAAATGTACATGTATTTTCTTTTTAGAGTATGTTGGATAAAAGACATTGTTGTGGCGGTAACTGGAGAAAACATAGAAGCAATGAAAAGTATTATTCAGAAGTACCAGCATAAACGCATCTCAGTAGTTGAAGCAGGAATGACCCGCCACCGGTCAATTTTCAATGGACTAAAAGCACTGGCAGAGGAGCAGCCCAACTTGCAACTCTCCAAGCCAGAAGTAGTGATTATCCATGATGCAGTGAGACCATTTGTGGAGGAAGATGTTCTCCTTAAAGTTGTCACAGCAGCTAAGGAGCATGGGGTAAGTATATCTGCTTTCGAGCATAGATAAAGGGACAAGCATTATGGTATGGTTCATTTGCTGAATTTTGATATAATTGTATTTAAATGTCAAAATATTTTAAATGGGCATGATGACCTAAAGACATTGTAGTAGTTTGTTTTAGGAACTTTATAGTATTATAGATTATGAGACTGTTCTGGAATTTATTTTTCTATAATCATTTAAGATAACTATAATATGATCTATTTGGAGAAGAATGCAATAATAATGTCATTATTAAAGTAGAGATATAAATGAAACCTTAATGAAGATTAAATATGCAGTTATATAGGATGCCTGAGAAATCTCTCAAAAGTGTAAGATATAGAATTAATAAATCTGATTCACTGTATTCAATTTTGTTTTTGAATTTTCAGAAGTGATTTATTTTCTAGCACAAACAGTCATACAAGATTTTCATACCCCTCAGCAAATCATCTTGGGATGACAGAATTCTGTTTCCATTTCTGTTTCACCAAAATAAACACAAGATAGCAAAAGACCTATTGTAATCTCTAGAATATGTTTGGTTTTTCCCTTCTATTGCCAGATAAAATCCTGTCTATATGGTAATAGATTCTAAATTTAAATTTGCAGTCTAACTTTGAGACTTACTGAACATGTTATTGCATAGAAATGATATATTATAATATAAACAGGCCATGAAGTTGGACAGACCTAGGTCCAAATCGATTTTTCTAACTGCTAATGGTGTTTTGTTTTTACCTTTTTCAACCTCTCTGAATTCATTTTTCCTACCTCTAAAAATACAGGTGCTAATACTTGTAAGATTGTTGTTAGGATTGGAAATAATGTTAACTGTTAGAGTGTTAAGTGCTTAAAAATGGTATTATTTTAAGATGAATTATAACTTTTAAGCTATAGTTTACTCCAAGGGTTATAGATCAACAGAAGGAGTTAAGTCTTCCTAGCCATTTGGGTGCCCAGGAAATTAAAAAAGAAATAGTATATTATGTCTTTTTAATTTTCCATGCGCTTTGAATTGTCATAGTTAGGAGATTTTCTGTAATTTCATCTCTTCCTCCTGTAACATGAATTTTATTTTGAATGTAAAACTGTAAAAAAATTCCATAGGTCAAATGAAACATTTTGACTTATCTTGGAACAAATCTTCTAGATGGTAGTGGAAACTGTGGTCCAGGGACCATTAGTGACCACAAAACTTTCTCATGGCTCCTATGCATTCTCCATGACTCCTTCTTCCTCTCCAAGTGGCTCATTTGTGGTAGAGGCAATGTGATCAGTTGCAAGGATGATGAGACGGAATAAAAGAGAAACAGATTCAAAATTTTTAGGACTTTGAGTCAATTCTACACATTTGAAAAAGGCTTTAGGTATGACTATATAATTTGGGTAGATAGAAATTTCAGTGCATACTATATTACACATAGAATTGTGTGTTTGCCTGTGTTTCCTTTTAGAAAATTATCATTCAAGCTCACTGTAATCATCACACGTTTGCAATTTAAGTACTATTTAAGAGAGCATATTTGAGAGATTATCCATGAAGTGATTCTGATAGTAGGTCTATAAAGGTAAGAGAGGTCTTTTATCTAGCTCCAATTAAGATGCTAAGGATATTTTTTACATGTGATTTGATAAAGCATATTAAAATGTATAGTAATTTTTGTTGCAGTTTTGTGGGAATTCCTACTAGGTGGTCTTCATTTCTTAAATGTTTGCTAATCAGAATATAATTTGCAAGATTTAATCACATGATGCATCTTAAATAAAATGAACAAATTATAGTTTAATGAAATTTTTGCAACTTTCTGATTAGATTGAGAAGGTAGTTCAAAACCAAAACTTCACAATTTATTTAGTTTTAAGTAAATCTCAGAATTTTTTTTTTTTTCAGAAACATTGCCTGTTTTGTTGGTGTTAAGAATAATTTTCAGCTGGGCTCAGTGGCTCAGCCTGTAATCCCGCGCCTTTGGGAGGCTGAGGTGAGTGGATTGCCTGAGCCCATGGGTTCGAGACCCGCTTGGGCAGCGAGACCTCATCTCTACAATAAATCAAAAAATCAGCCGGGCGTGGTAGTGCATGCCTGTAATTCCGGCTACTCGGAAGACTGAGGTGGAAGGATCGCCAGAGACCAGCAGGCGAGGCTGCGGTGGCCGGGAGCGGCCACCGCACTCCAGTCTGGGTGACCGAGTGAGACACCAACTCAAAAAAGAATAATTTTCAAAAAAGGGTAAAATGATGAGTTTTATATAAGTATACATATCCATATTTAAGAATTTTTCTTAATTTATTAATGAAGGAACCAGACAGATATTACAACTGGTTCAAAATTTAATTGAGAGAAGCATAAATTTATATGGAGTAAAAGGTAGTCATGTTGAAATGAACTTTTAAAATCAGAAAACTGACTTTTCCAAAGAGTAGACAGTTGAATCGCCATTAGACAGGATTTATTTACATGTTAATAGGCAAGAATTATTTTACATTAATACCAGTTATCTACAACTTTGAAAGTTATATAAGAGTTTAAAGATTAGATTCAGCTAATCTGAAAGAATCTGCCCCAAGCAATAATGTTTTCCAGTGTAGACAATAATCTCTTTTGTTCTACATTTTCTTATAGCAATTAGAATAGTGTCCCCATTGCCTCAGTTAAATCCAGGTTCTCTTTCCTGCAAATTCTCACACTGTTCTGACTTAAAGTCATAAAAACATACATGCAATTAATTGAGACATACTGGTAGCTGGATTTCTAAAGCTGTTGGGAAGTATTGGCATCTTTTTGACTTGTCATTAATAAATTAAAAGCGTGATCTGAATCAAATGCTAGTCAATGACACAAAAATCTCTTGACTTTGCTTAGTCAGAGCCACGTCACAGGCTATTTTCCAGGCCTCCTTCTAACTCATTCTTTTTTGTTCTCTTAAAAGGTTTTCTACAGACTCCTTAATTGATTATTATATTTCTTATTAGCTCTTAATTTTCAAGTTAGTTCTACTCAAAGGTGCTTTTTAGATACACCATTTCTTGAACAAGTAACATTGTGACTGTCCCTTGGAGTGGGGTTACGTGTGCTAAAGACAATTGATGCTATTTTAACTTACGTTCCTTTTGGTTACTTAAAAAATCTAGCTGGTTTCTCTCGCCCATGCCAGCTCTAGCATGTCTCCCTTTCTTTTTTCTCTTCTTTCTTTAATAAACTTTGTTTGGAAAAAAAAAACAAAAACAAATTAGTGAAGATATATTGTCTCAAAAGACTAAAAGTCCAAGATCAAGACTGACATTGAGGCTGCCTACATACAAGAGATCAAAAGTGTCACCAGGATCCAATTTCTCTCTTCTTTGTGTTTATTACATTCTTAGGTCCTACGAAGGGGTAGGATGACTTCCACAGGGCCAGTAGCTAAATTGTTTCAGGGTTATTTCTTTCTTCCTGATGATGATAGTTTGGGTATAAAATTCTAAGTCTACAATTTTTTTTCCTTCACTACTTTAAAAATAGGTTATGTCTCCAGGCTTTTGTGTTGCTTTTGAGAAGTCTGCCAACCAATAGCATTGTATTCCCTTGAAAGTAATCTGCCCTTTCTCTCTGAATTCTCTTAAGATAATTTCTTTTTCATAGGTGTCGTTGAGTCTCTATTGTATGACGAGATATGAATTTCATTATTTCTTTTTTCTCCTTGCTTTGGATTTATTGTCCTTTATGAACTTTATGATTTATATATTTTTCTAGAAAGTTCTGAATGATTATCTGATTGAATATTGATTCTCTCTGCTGCATTTCTCACTTCCACAACTTTTTCCCCCTTTGCTTATCGATATTGTTTGTAAGATAGTGCCTCTTATCTGGTGCTTGTATGTCCTAAGTTCTCTTTCATATTTCTATTTATTTTTGTATCCTAGGTAATTTTAGTTTTCTATTTCATTCATTCTCTAGTTTTGTCTAATCTCTTGTTTAAGAATTTTTATATTTTTCAATTCTTTGGAATCCCATTTGGTCTTTTTTTCAAGTATGATTAGTCTTGTTTCTGTTTTTGATTTTATATTTTATCTTTAAATATCTGAACACGATATTTTATGCATTTTAACTAATAGTACTTGGGTATTTAATTCTCCAGTTTTTCATTTCTGTTCACTTTGGCTCATAATTTGTTTCCTTCTTTGTTTCATAATTTGGATTGTAAGCCCACGTTTGGCAGGACTTTATCAGCCAGAATCCTTTGGGTATTGGATAGGGAGGTATTTCTGAAGCATAGATTTGTGTTTCTTCTGCCACAAAAGGGGTTTACCAACTTGGAACACCCCAGAGAAACCTGAAAAACTGAATTTCCAGCCATGATGGGAAGGGAGGTTGGAATGCCTTGCATACCCTTGCCCTTTTGGAGTTGAGGCACAACTGACTAGTATTAAAATTAAAATACAGTTAATAAGACTGACAAAAGAGACTTATGGCAATGAGATATACTAAATTATAACAAGTCCTAAGGGAATGTAAGGCAAGAATCGAGTCATACCCTACAAACCATAAAATCTTGTTAAATGTTTTTTTTTGTGTGTGTTAGACAAGTATAATGTGGCTTACTTTTCAATCTGACTCTGGTATAGCATCATATGACAGCAGATCCTGAAGGAAATAAAAATATTTTTATCCCTAAATATATTTATTTGGCATATTTTGAAATGACTCTGCAAAGACATCTTTTGTGGGGGAAATTTGTATTTGTAGAGAAATTAATATAGCAAGAACTTCTCTTTCTAGAAGGTCTTTCCCAGATCTAGAAGAGATTAATTAATTAAAGGTGTCTGGCTGGGCTCGGTGGCTCAGCCTGTAATCCCAGCACTTTGGGAGGCTAAGGTGAATGAATTGCCTGAGCCCGCTGGTTCAAGATCAGCCTGGGCAACATGGTGAGACCTCATCTCTACAATAAATCAAAAAATTAGTGGGGCATGGTAGTGTGTGCCTGTAGTTCCAGCTGAGGCAGAAGGATCACCAG